TTTCGCCAGCTCTTCTCCGTAAGACATGACGTTGCACACTGACGCGTCACTGAGTGAACTTACGCGGTTTCGCGTTAGTTTAACTTGCTTCACTTTCCGTGCGCGTACTAGTATTCTATGCGTAATAATTCTATGATTAAATCAATCTCGGCATTTAGGCTGAGACCAAATTTATGTTTAAAATTTTGTATAATGGTTTGTAAGAACCACATTTTTTCTTTAGAGAAGTATTTTGTCTTTGTATTTTCTTAAATTTCTCAGTAAGTTTCTTTCTAGCTGCAGATTCCTTGCTATTAAATAAAAAACAATATTATAACGTGCTCATAATTTATTATTTTTATAATGACATAGAATTATTGATTACATTACTAAGGAAATCCCGTAGAACTATATTTAAAAGATTAGGCTTCGCATATATCACTCGAATTAGGCTTAGGACACATCACTTGCGTAAGTTATTTTTAAGTATAATTTTTCTCGGACTATAAAACATTGAATTTGAACTGCTTACTGATTTAGACAACGGTCCTGATTACCTACTTCCTGTTCACCTCATTATGTTGGCTGAAAAAAAGATACTAGTTATTTGGGAAGCCTGTAAAAATTCTAGCGTTACAGTATTAAAAAAACGCCATATACTAGTGTGACTCGCGCGCCGTCTCTCTTAAATCTCGTAAATATACTGAACATTACAAAAAATCGTTCGTATATATAAATATTTAGGTTACCATATATCCGCACTAGAACCAGTAACCGACATAGCCCAAATTAGTATGGTGAAATGGCAATGGGCCGGCCATGGGGAAGAAAGGTTCTTGACTGTCAGCCTCGTACCGGCAGGCGAAGTGTAGGGCGTCCCCCTACTAGATGGAGTGACGACCTGGTAAGACATGCAAGAAGTGAATGGATGCACGTGGCTCGGGACCGTGTTTTGTGGCATTCTTTGGGGAGACCTATGTTCAGCAGTGGACTTGTGAAGGGCTGTAATAATGATGATGATGTTGATGATGGTACTACAGATTTCTTTAAGTACACTTTTCCTGTTTTTGTGGTGTATTTGTCGTTATCTTTTAAATGCACGGAACATATACTTAAATAATCTGACGGTAACCACGTTTCTTCGCTGCAATTCTTCTGAACAAATTTGATCTATTATTCTTTTGTTTCATAACACGGCCGAGAAAATAATAATTTTAATGCATTAACATTTCCTACCGTGATTATATATTACGTATTCGTTGCAGTTGATAAAATATAATTAAATTAAGCGTGTTTTAAAGATACTAATATGTTGAACTTACTGGTGAAAAGTCACTCCTTGACTTTTAAATCTCAATGCTTATGAAGGCATAATTAATTTTAAAAATTTCTTCACTCAAACGTCTCACGTTCCAGCAACCGCTTGACACAGACTAAGTGAGTTGGAGAGCGCGCGCTCTAACTCATGTTACAAACAATCAAGTTGGGGCGTCTCCTCTAGTACGTAGTACATTATAACTCAATGGTCCAAATCTACCAATCCATTGTGCACCAAACGTGTCATTTAGCCACTGCATGGCTGTTATTACAGTGTGTGCTGGCGCTCCATCTCATTAGTACCACATTCGTTGGTGTCGATGGACGTTTAGGTTGTGTATGTATTCTGACACTATCATTTAGTAGATTAACAAACCTTTTTCCGTCAAAGCCCTATCAATGAATACGGGTCCGATGATGTTGTCACCGTGAATAGTTGCCCAAACATTTACCGAAAATCTGTACTGATGGACTAAGTCCCGCCAAACGCGCGGATTTTGGTTTTTGGGTGCCCAATGGTGCAGATTGTGCTGGTTCTATGGTATGCTTGGGTTTAGTTACCACTGCAAGACTTCAAGACACAGTAAGTTCATTCTGCGTAGATCGGACCAAAATTAATAATTAAAAAGCTGAAGGTACTCCGAGTTAACTCTGACATCGGGACGTCAGTCACCTCAGTCCCCCGTGACCATGGTTGCTGGAAAGCAATCGAAACGTCGGGAATATAAAATAAGTTAATTAAACGCGATAAAATCCGTAAAAATTAGTTTTATTCAATGTGTAGTGTTCGCGTAAATATAAGAAATCATTAAGGCGCAGGTTGAGCAAAATGTCGCGCTAGTCGTTATTTGGGCGGTTTTTAGAAGCTATCTACTTTTTATTTAAAAGATATATCAACAAATAAAAAACACATTATATTTCTACATAATCTTGATTCCATAAAAGCTATATCCAATTTTTTTTAAAACGAATAAATATTAATATAATCTCCTTACAACGAAACCACATAAATGTGAAATTATTATTGATAACATGGATCTCCTCGTAAAGTAAGTATTATTTTATTTTGCGATTTACACCAATGGATAGACAATTTATTAATAAACATTTCTATAGTAAATTTTTTTTCAAAAGACCAAAATTTGATTTTATTAAGAAATTATTTTAAAATCTGGGCATATTCACTGCTCACGGGCTTGCTAGAGTCAGTGAGCCCTGAGCTCTTCGACGCGAAGCCCGTGTCGTTAGAGCGTCGACCAGCGCCGCATACACTCACGTAATATCAGTCGATAAATAATATTACTTATTAGGTTATTTATAGGTAGTATTATTTGTTTGTTTTGGGTATAATTTTTCGTATTAGTTATACATATATTTGTTGTGTTTTTTACTGCGCGATGAAGCTTTTTGCGTGTATTTTCTTTGAAGTAAATGCAAATAAAAAAATGAAGCACCATTGGCATGTAAGGTTCGAATCCATAATTAAAATTTCGATAAATATTATAATTTACACTATAAAAGGCTAATTCAATATTATCACCCAACCACAATATCTTATTACGTACAGTACTGCCTCGTTGGTCTAGTGGTTGTAGTAGTGCGACTGCTGATCATTAGGTTCCGGGTTCGAATCCTGGGTCGGGCCCTGTCAGTTATGAGTTTTTCATTTATGTTCTAAGTTATAATTAGTATTACTAAGTTATAGTTTTTTGCTAAAATATAGTATATTATTTATTGCTTGTTTTTTCTTCTTTTTCAAAAAATAATTGAGTACATAAGGTGTTCTATACTTATAATTCGGTAAAAAGTATCTAAGTAGGTACTAATATACCTACTTTTTACTACTAAAAATTTTTAAAACTAAATTTAACTAAAAAGACTAAACTGACCATTTATTTTTTAACTCAAAACAGGACATGGGTTTATTTATACTCTAAAAACTATAACTTTATACAATTAGTGTTCACTGTAAAATTATATTCGGTATAGACGGTAATTATTAAATGCAACATATTTTTCTTAATTATTAATTACATTTGTCAGTGGATTAAATTTTCTTTAATAAAGTTGGTGATGATTTTAAATAAAAATAAAATTCTGCTCAAGTTTTTTTATTGTTATCTTTGTTAACAACATCGCCTTTAGAACTCTGGAACCGTAAGTGTTTCTTTCAGACGTCCACAATTTATTCAAAATAAAAAAAATACTCTTTCTACCGGAGCATTCGTAGCAGGTAGACATAAAATATATTCGATTAAAAAAAATATGTTGAAGATTGTTGACTTTGAATACTTCCATCCAACGAGTTACGGGACAATTTTGTGTGTCCCGGAGCTTTGTTTGGGGACAATGGGACAGGTGACCGAGAAAAGGGACAGTCCCGTTCAAAACGGGACGTGTGGTCACTTTAGCTATAACCCGGCGACGGCTACGTGGGGCAGTGGCTTAGCAATTAGTTGTTGCGCTGGGGGCCGCGGGTTCGAATCCCGCACGGAACAAGTATTTGTATGGCTTACAAATAATTGTTCCGGGTCTGGATGTTTGTCCTTGTGCAATTTATGTTTGTAAACTGCCTCCACGACACAGGAGAAAATCCTAGTGTGGGGGTAACGTTTTTTTACAATTGAAATTGAAAGATTGAACCCTTATACTTCTTGTTGATTTTTGTATTAGTACTCGTAGTTAGGTATATTACTTTTCAATACGTGACACGTAAAAATTAACAATAATCAAAAACACATCTACGAAACATCCTATTTATTTATTTATTCTTTCTTGCACCAAATATTTGTACAAAAGGCGAGCTATATATTTATTTACCTATAGTGAATAGGTATCTTTTAAACTCACAATTTTCAATGCTTCATTTTTAATATATAATTAATTATAAAATTTCATAATTAGATAATATATGAGAATACATAATTCTAATATAATGCAACTAATATACCGAATAAAAAAATTAAAATACATTTATCGTTGTACGCTGTGTGTATTTCCATAAATTAGTTCATTGATGTTGATTCATTTGCGTCGTACATATTTCAAATAAGCAATATATTGGGCGCGCGGCGTGCCGCCGGCAAAATGCTCAAGGTCGTTCGCATGGAGTAGCCCCTTAAGCAAAAAAATTTATTCGAATTCGGTGCAGCGGGGTGGGAGGGCGCACGTCGCCTGCACCGCCCGCTCGCCGACAAAGGGGTGTTTCTTTCCTTCAATAGTATTGCTTATTCGTTTTAATTTCAATGATGCGGTATTATGATCCGTGACCCCGGCAAATGACCGCTGCGAGACTGTTCTCTAAGTACAGGTTGCTCTAAGATGCTATTTTCTAAAATTTTAAATAAATCCGTAATAACGTTTAATGGAAATATAAAGTCTTCATGAAAGGAAAATGTGAAAACGTATATGTGTGTTAAATTAAAGTCACCATTGTTCCTGCACGTTGTATGTATTAGTGTAACATTTGTTAGTGAACCAAATAAATAAATAAAAACTTTGAAAGCAAAACATTATCTAAATACATCATTTTATCCAAATTGTTATAGCCGTTTCTGAGAAACCAAATATAACACATATGTAACATTAATTATAATCTAGAAAAAAGTTTATATAGGCTGTTCCTTTTATTTCTTAAATTTGTTTGGCTGTTTAGTTTCTTAAATTTATATTCTAAACCATGTTTAATGGACCGTAATTTTTAGGGGGTGACAACATATTTCTCTTGTAACTGCACTGAAGAGGACTCAAACTTAGTCAATGATTGGATGAAAACTAAACGTATCGAAGCATATATCTGTCGGACATTCAAAACCACAGCTGATGATGGCCGTAAGTGCACAAAATACTTTTTATGCTTACCTTCATTACCTTAATCACTCCTCAAATAATTCAGTGTTTGATATGAATCTTTCTAAACTAGTAAGTTTCCTTATATGTGTAATAATGTATAAGCTAATACAGTAACAGATGTCCCCCATCATTATTTCCTTTCTGTTATATTCTCGACTGTCCAAGTATAGACATACAATTCTGACGCATTTGATGTTTCTGCCAATTGTCGGATGTCATTAGATTTTATAGCTATTTCACTAACTCATTTGCAGCTGGAAAGTAAACTTTAAAAATTTACACTATTACAACACCATTGTGGTATTAAAGTTTAAGACAAAATTAAAAGATTAAATCCAGTTGATTTGCACACTGTGTGTGTGCACACACGCGCACAGCATCATATTTGTTCAACAGCCAAATCAACACACGGCAGTATCCTAATGGTGGTAATATTATGGGATACTTATATGTACTTTACTAAGAAGCATTTTGGCTATTATGCTCAATGAAATCGCGAAATCATCCTTTTAGGAGAGCTATTTTTGAGAGTAACTATTTCTAGGTTTGATTAAGAATCCAAAGTTTTGCAACTGTCGCTGATACTCATACACTAATTAATTCTGATTTTACGTATTTTGACTTTTCAGAGTATCACGCATACCAATTGTAAAATTCTTTAATTATATTTTATTTATTACAGTACCATTATACACTATACACCTGGCGAGTGTTGAGTCTTCACCCAAGCCGCCGCTAACGATGGAAAAAGAAAAATATAAGAACGCATATTTCCAAGTGACGCGAGGAGATTACGCCGCTCTATTGAAACTGGCGAATGAGAACCTTGCCAAAGCTATGGAATATGCAGCAAATGATAATGAGAGAAATATGCTTAAACATTACATCAACAGTTTCAAAGAAGGTGACTTGAATGAACATAAAGAGGGCAGCAGGTTTTGGATCAAAGATAAAGGCCCAATTATTGAAACGTAAGTAATCAATAATGAAGCAATGTATATTACAACAAAATATCAGAAATACAAAGTCTCACTATTACATAGTTTAAATATTTTATCAAACAAAACTGTATAACAAAGGTTGTTATAATATAAATTAATATGTGGTTGATAATAACCCCTATAATGAGGTGGTCGCTTCTAAGCTGTTTCTAAAAATAAATTTTGTAAATAGTTTGTACAACCTTTCATATTGTATAATTTACTTTTTATAAACGTCCCGCTGGGTTTCTTGCTGTTTCTTCCCAGGATATAGTTTTTTTTTGGAACCATTGGTAAAAATTACTTTCAATAGGAATTACATGTGATCTATGTTGAATAAAAAATTAATATTAATGGGTATTTTTAGTACTAAACGTTTAATGAATATCAGTTGATGTCAGCGTTGATGAACTCTATGTTAGGGACTTATAGACCATAAGAGCCGGAAGAATTTGCCGAAATCGTCACACTAAGCATCTGCTTCATAGTAATCATAGTACAGTACAGTACAGTACATATAGCATTTTGGGTATTTTATATCTGGCTTGTACCAAATAGTTGTTGTTTATCCACTAGGCAGTACCTAGAAACCATGCTAAGAAGCCTCATATCAAGTTGTCAAATTGTCTGTTGGTTGTTGTCTACCATTTTTGTTCCTCTCTTATAATAGCATTTATTTATCGACTATTGATTTCCATATTCCATCAATTCTATTACTGCCTATAAAAGTTCATTGCGGAACATAGGCCTCCTCCATAGAGTGCCTCAGAGTTGTATTTTGCCATAGTTGCCAAGCTTGGCCATCAGGTTGGTTATAAATAAATGAATAATGAATTAATGTTGTAAAGTTAATTTCTTTATGTAAAATGTTCCAAGTTTTTATTCTTTGCATTAAAAATAAAATAACGTATGAACAGGTACCAAGGCTTCATTGAAACATACCGCGATCCAAGCGGACAACGAGGGGAGTTTGAAGGGTTTGTGGCGATGGTTAACAAGGAAATGTCTAAAAAGTTTGGCACTCTCGTGGATGGGGCGGAGCGCTTCATCAAGCTTTTGCCGTGGGGACAAGATCTTGAAAAGGATACATTCCTCAGGCCCGACTTTACTAGCTTGGACGTTTTAACTTTTTCTGGCAGCGGTATTCCTGCTGGCATCAACATTCCTAACTGTAAGCATCGTAAACACTCCTTTTTACTTTGTTCATATGAGTTTTTGTGTATTTGAATGTGTTCATTCATTCATTCTTAAGAGTTAATTTCCTTAGTTGCCATGGGTTACCATTACTTTAGTTGTTCCCTCTGTTGTCTTTTAAGTTGTTGTTTAAATATTGTGTTATGGTTTCTCTGTATGTAAGGTACTCTATAGTTATAATCTAAACGTGTGATAATTGTAGTTTTTGGCGGGAACTTGACCGGCGGCGGTTTGCTGCTCCTGTATTATTGTTTAAATAATGGTTTGAAGTGGACTTTGATATGTAAAAGTGGTGCGATTTTGTGTATTAAGTGTCTGCGTATGTGAACTATTAGTAGAAACTGTGAAACAAGTGCTCTGATGGTGATGTGATTCTCAAAATAAGGTGTATGTCTGCTTAGGCGCCTTGAGATACCATCGCCAACCGTCAGCTGTCTGCTGGCTCAAGTTGCCGTCAAAATCTCCCAAGGACTGCACAATGTGATGCATCAACATATTGTGAAGCAGTATACTATGAAGGATAATTATTATAATATATTGTAACTTCAGGCTCAGAAGGGCTAGATCCCAGAGCCGTAAAGCCAGTTATTAAGAAGAAGAAGACGTGTGATAATTTTACTTCATTTCTTGTTCCATCGCTTATATAACTATACATATTTCACATATGAAATTTGATTTGTACACTTTTTGACACAAAAAATGTATTTGTGCATCTTCGTATATTATATCCACGACAACAATCAGTCTCGATAACAACTTAACTATTAAACAGTCATTTCTTTTATATAACAGTAACATTTTACAACTATTGGTAAAGAAGTAAAATGGTCCTTCTATCACCACATAACATCATTGAAGTTTTTATAAATAATAATATTAATAAAATATTTTACCTGAAATATTTTATTAATATTATCCATTTTATGCCCTTTATATATCTTATTTAGTCCTTGAATTTTGACAGATGATGAGATTCGTCAGAATGAAGGCTTTAAGAATGTTTCCCTTGGCAATGTAATTCCCGCTGCATATAAGGAATCAGTCATACCATTCCTATCTGAAGAAGACAAGAAATTACTGGAAAAGTACAGGGTTGCTTCTTTTGAGGTGAGTTTTTGTAAGACACTATCACACACTATCAATAGGCCTCCTATAGAACGCCTCCCAGCGTTTTTCATCGGGTGGTTCTTCTGGTAGGGGGAGGGGTCGCTCAACAACTAATTAGTAACTGAAAATGTTATTTGGAAAATATGTTTTCTCACCAGTTATCCTATACCCGTACAAACAAAAACCTAACATGAAATTATGGAATAATGCACACGAAAACCAATAAACGTTTTTAACATTTATTTGTAGCAAAATGCATGCTCAAAACTTTGATAAATGTAGGAACTTTTGAAATAAGATACTTGATTTGGTGAGCGAACAATATAACACTGGCAACATTACGTAGAACCAAATTCAACTAAATATATTAAGCTGCAATTCTGACCGATTTTTATGTATTTCGTACAGTTTTTCATACATGTTTGTATTTTAAACAGGTACAAGTGGGTCTCCATGAGCTCTTAGGCCACGGCAGTGGGAAACTGCTTCGTCAGAACGCCGACGGAACGTTTAACTTCGATAAAGAAAAGGTCAAGAACCCACTTACCGGTAAGGCAGTTTAGTATATAGTTTATTTAATATTTATACTAAGCATACCACAATTTTGTCGAATTTAAAAAGTGAAAAATTTTGTGCTTATATAGGTCTCACTCCTTGGCATAGGCTTCCTATCATTTATGAGAGGGGTTTGCACAATTTAATTGAAATTATTTAATAGTCGAAGCAAATTACTTTTCTACCGACTTCAAAAAGGAGGCGGTATTCATTTCGACTGTATGTTTTGGAACGAAGTTCCTTACGGTACGAATACGGACGGTACGAATTTGGCGGATGGTGGCTCGGCGAGAAAAAGTGTAAGATTTTTCCGTCACGACCCCTTCTGACGTAGTGTAGACGGCCTTGGCGGCTATAAGGTAACGAGATCGAATAATATTCTCTCTCTCCCTTGCACTTTATCTTATCTTGCCATGATATATTATTTTAAATGCCGCTTCATTTTAATAGACGCTAGTAATTCATTTATTTGTATTTGTTAATCAATAATATAAAACATTTATCAATAATAATGTACTACGAATAGAACTTCGTTCCAACAAAGTGTTCCACGACACTCATATGTTTTTTTGTGTGTTACCTTATAACTTTTTTCTCGATGAACCGATTTCGATGATTCTTTTTTCATTTGAAAGCTGGTGCTTCCCATGTAGTCCCATATAAATTTGGTCAAGGTTTGACCAATAGTTTTTGAGTTATTCTTAATAATTTATATTGAAGTCGGTTGTACAATTTTTTTTTTAATTTTAAATTATAATCCAAATAATTAAAATTCCACATTCTTAAATAGGAGCTGAGATTATTTTCCTCATTAATTAGTACTTTTTGGGGCCTATTTTTAACAATCCCTGCAGATTTTTAAACAAACTATCAGAAATTATAAAATGATATATTAATGGATCTTAGGGAGGTATCTAATCATCAAACTCTGTTAAATCACCTACCAAAAAAAAATATACTTTAACTGATTTAGAATATGGTATAAATAAAACAGTGAATTTCAAATGATTCAAATCAAATCACTATTGTTTCATCTGTATCAAAAATCTTCCTACGGCTATATGTTGTTCTATTATATATATCTCACATATTATATATATCACAAGGGGTCGCTCGACAACTGATGCCGGTGTTGAGCTGATTAAATATATATTTAATGCATGGGAGAATTCACAGAATGCTTTGGGTATATTTTGTGACCTATCCAAAGCCTTCGATTGTGTTCACCATGAAACATTAATCAGGAAACTTCAACACTACGGTGTAAGAAGTGATGCTCGTAAATTAATTATTTCATATTTAAGTAAGAGAACGCAAAAAGTTGTCATTAACACTATGAGTTCTTCTGGGTCGATGGTACAAATGGGCGTGCCTCAAGGCTCAATTCTCGGCCCCTTTCTGTTTCTTGTATACATTAATGACTTACCTTTCATAGTAGGATATACTATTATTTGCAGATGACACTTCTTTAATTTTCAAATTAAGTCGACAATTCCTAAAATATGACGAAGTAAATAATGTTATATCTAAATTAGTAAATTGGTTCAATGTTAATAATTTGCATTTAAATGGCACTAAAACGAAATGTATGAAATTTATGACTCCAAATGTCAAACAATTAAATACTAATGTAATTTTAAATGGGGAGAAACTGAGTCTTGTAGATACCACCATTTTTCTTGGAATCACACTAGACGCGAAGCTTCAATGGGGCTCCCATATATCAAAACTAGCAAGCAGACTTAGTTCTGCAGCATATGCCGTAAAAAAGATTAGAAGTCTGACTAGTGTTGAAACAGCTAGACTAGTTTACTTTAGCTATTTCCATAGCATAATGTCGTATGGTATTTTGCTATGGGGACACGCAGCTGACACTGAAATTATATTTGTTTTACAGAAGAGGGCCATAAGAGCAATTTATGATTTAAAGCCTAAAGAGTCGCTGCGACAAAAATTTAAGGAAATTAATATATTAACTTTGGCCTCTCAATACATTTATGAAAATGTAATGTACGTACACAAAAATAAAAGTAGTTTTACAAAAATAAGTGATATTCATTCTGTAAATACTAGGAACAGACACAAGATAGTAGTACCAGTTACTCGACTCCATCGAGTCAGTAATTCATTCTTGGGGCGATGTATACGCTTTTACAACAAAATTCCAGAAAATATACAAAATTTGACCTGCTCAAAGTTCAAAAACTTTATTAAACTAAGTTTGTATAAAAAGGGTTTATAATATTAATGAATTTATAGATGATAATAACCCCTGGAAATGAGGTGATCGCTACCAAGCTATTTCTAATTTGTTGTGTTGTTAATTTGTGTAACATACATGTTTGTAAGCTCTTATTTAAAAAAAAAGTCCCGCTTGGTTTCTTGCTGGTTCTTCCCAGGACAGAGGTTTTTTTTTCGAACCAGTGGTAATCATACAAAAGAGTGACTTTAAATAAGTATTATTTATAATCTATTGAATAAAAAAGTTTCTGTTTCTGTATCTCTTTTACTTTCATACTAGACCAGGCTTACTTTTTACTGCTTGGTGTCATTGTTATGATTTGATGTTTCAGGCAAACAAATCGAATCGTGGTATACAGAAGGAGAGACTTACGACAGTAAGTTCACAACATTGGGCTCTGCCTTCGAAGAATGTCGCGCAGAAGCAGTCGGGCTATATTTGTCGTTGGAACCTGAGATACTCAAGTGAGTAAATTGTTTCTAAACTAGAATGAGCATGAAGTCAAATTTTTTGTAAGCTATTTCGATTATTGATGTTGCTTTTAATATTCACTTATAACAACAATAAAATGAACCCTTAAATTTCTACACAATATGCAAAGTAATGTATAAACAAAATACTAGTTACGTTCTTCTTCTTCTCTTCCTTATTCATCAACACGTAAAAGTCTACTGCTGGACATGGACCTCTCCATTTCAGCAGCTAACTTTCTTCACTTTATATGATGTGTAGTATATGTCATATACCTTCAAATGAAGCAACCATAGAATACTATTATAATGCACAATAGAATGGCTGATAACCTTTATAACCGGTATCGCACATACAAGTAGTTACGTCGTATTATCACTACTAGAAACCCAATTCGCCCATTGGTTATATAAATTTCAATAAATAAATGTTACAAACGCATTGTGTTACAACGGATTCTTACAGACCATCTCTTTCTGAAAAGAAAGAGAAGGAATAACTGTGTTGACAGACTGAGCAAATTTGCACTTTTTAAGCTTGATTTTTGTCTTTTGTTATATATGTAAAAATAAAAGAAATCGTGTATATTTTAAAACTTTATTTGTTAATAGTGTGCAAACTAATTGAAAATACAATGTTGGTATTATTTTTTTTCTTTTTGTAAATAACAAGTTGTTGAACACGTATAAGATGCGTAGCATCATATTAGTCTATGCGTATAATATTTATATATAATTACTAAACATGTTGTTATCTATAACTGTTTACATGGGACAAATAGTTCGACTAGGTAAGTCCAACTTTTGACAGATTCAACTCGGCTGGGCAGCGTTTGGAAAATTACGGCACATCTTCTCGTTAGGTGTACCTCAAAACTTGAAAACAAGACTGTACAACCAACGCGTGCGAAGACCTATGGAACTGAGACGTGGTCATTCACTGCTGGCCGTATGAGGAAGCTCAAGGTCGCTCAGCGTGCTATGGAGAGGGCTATGCTCGGGGTTTCTCTGCGTGATAAATTTAGAAATGTGGATATCCACAATAGAACCAGAGTGACCGACATAGCACAACGGATTAGTAAGCTGAAGTGGCAATAGACTGGCCATATAGCTCGAAGAACCGACAACTGATGGGGAAAAGAAAGTTCTTGAGTGGCGGCCTCGACCGGCGCGGCGGACGAAGTGTAGGGCATCCTCCCATTAAATGGAGTGATGACCTAGTATGATGCAGGAAGTCGATGGATGCAGTTGACTCAGGACCGTGCTTCGTGGCATTCCTTTCGGGAGGTCTATGTTCAGCAGTGAACTTGTGAAGGGCTGTAATGATGATGACGAATTATCACATAATTCGGCATTTTTTAAATAAATTGTTGTACCCAGCAACGCTTGACACAAAAATTGGGCAACGGTTGTGACATCAAAAGTGATGTGTTGACATTTATAGGTGTGAATTGAAATGTTAGTGGCTACACAGGCACCGCCCACTTCCCCGTTCTATTATGTATGTATATTATAGTATTCTATGGGAGTAACAGCCAAACACATGTTACTGCTGCACACAGGTTGATAGACTTGATAATACAATCCTAGCTAAAATAATTTACATATTTTGTGTAACGCTTTGTACAGAATATTTGGATACGAAGGTCAAGAGGCACAAGATGTGACATATGTGAATTGGCTGAGTTTGATGTGGAATGGAGCTGCCAAAGCCACTGAGATGTATCAACCTTCAACGAAGACTTGGTTACAGGTACGCATTGCCAGATGACGATTAACTATTGAGTATTCTGAGTTTATTTTATTTTATAATTATCATGAGCATAATAATCTGTAAAAATTTAATATTATATTAAATTGTGTAAAATTGGTCAGCTTTTTTTAAATCTTTTGGGGGGAATAAGTAATATCACAATTTCAATGTTGTCTGAGTTGTGTAAGTTACATTTAAGATTTTATGTCATATTTTGCCACTCTTGGGGCATTTTCTCAAATGTTTATGGAACCACTCCTGAATTGTAACCTACTTAATAAAAAATTAATCATCAATCCTATTTTGCAGTCCTTAGATGTGGATTTTTTTCCAAATTTATGTAAGACTACCAATGAAGTACTAATGTATTTAATAAAAAAGGAATAACCAATATCGGTACACAATTTTTTTATAGGAGAGGGTGCAAACGAGCATACGGCTCACCTGATGGTAAGTGACTACCGCCGCTCATGAACAACTGCAACACCAAGAGAATTCCAGATGCGTTGCCGGCCTTTTAAAAAGGAGTAAGTTCTTCTCTTGAAAGTCCCTAAGTCGTATCGGTTCGGAAAAATCGCTATTCCACAGAGAGCTCGTACGCGGAAGAAAACTCCTAGTGAAACGTACAGTGGTGGACCACCAAGCACGCAGATGGTGTGGTTGGTGTCGGGAGTGTTTTGTCGCGATGTGCGTTCGTGAAATTTGGCGGCTAGGATTAAACCGAACAATTACTCAGAGTACTCCCCGTGGTAAATGCGAAAGAAAATGCAAAGGGATGCAAAATCTCTTCCTAGCGCCAGTGAATCGAGCCGATCGGAAAGGACTCTGTCGTCGACGATTCGAGCCGCTCTGCGCTGGATGCGGCCAAGTGGAAGAAACTGGTACTGGGGAGCCCCAGCCCAGAGATGGGAACAGTATTCCATTTAAGGCCGAAGCTGCGCCTAAAGTTGAAGGCGTTGTGCTGACATAAAATACTTGTTCCGCTCTGCTCTGCACGCCAAGCTTTTTAGAGGCCAGTTTGGCCTTCTCTTCCAAATGACCACGAAACTGCACGTCAGTCGATATGCCGGCGCCGAGGATTCCGGTACTGGCTGAGGCAACAATGAGAGTGTCTTAAAACTGAGAAGATACGACAAAGGGGTTCTTTTTAGCGGTAAACGCGCAAACTTGTGTCTTCTGAGGATTAAACTGGACTAGATTTAGTCGCCCCCAATCCGAGGCTGAGATCTATAGATCGTACTTGGACTTTGCTCAGACTTAGCTTACGAAAAACTTAGCTGAGTATATGCTTAGCATAATCTTTGATTCCGAATTTATAGTTGTATCGGGCTAAGATTGTGCTAAGCTTATGCTAAGGCTCAGACTGTCAAAAAATTTATGGATGATTTATTCCACATTATCTTATTGATTTTACTGAATAAAAATAAAAAATGTATATATTTAAAAACCGAAAATAGTCCGAATTGTATTTCATAAATAAGTTATTATTACATGAAGTAGAAAACAGGCGAATTTAAAGAGAGATAAAAGTACATTTAACTCATTTTAGTTTAAAAATATGAGATGGAAACGGAACGTTTGATCACCCGTTCGCGCGCGCTGTCAAATCACTGTTTCTATTTTCTAACGTGAAGCTTTTGGTTTATTGATATTGTGCGCATTTTAATTTTTTATATATATTTTAATCTCCTGATCTTTTTATTACGACTGGCTTTGGAACTTGGACTCCCGATTCTACCTACCTATTCGACCTACGCTTCAGAAATTTGGACCCGACAATCTTTGGAGTTTTCTGTGAATAATGGACAATATAGATAGAGTTCTATCTACTTTAGAAAATATAGATAGATTGGGAACTTCAGCAGATATAAATTTTCGGCGCATGTCTAAATTCTATGTTCGGAATGAATACAACCAAAACCCTTTCAAGCTGTATGACGAAAATGAATTTAGAAGAAGATACCGTTTCACTAAACTCACTGTTTTAAAGGTAATATTACCTTTAATAATTGCCAATTTAAAGCATTTGGACAATAGAGGCTTGCCGATTTCTCCAAAACTGCAATTACTTATTGCATTAAGGTTTTATGCTACAGGCTGTTTCCAGGTAATTATTGTTTCGTAGAATAGAATAGAATAGAATTTTTATTCAATTGAACTTTTACAAGTGCTTTCGAATAGTCAGAAGTTACCATTGGTTATGTATATAGTAAGTATGTTTTATACATAATAAGTAATACCTATATTCCTTGATATTCCAGATGGTGTGTGGTGATTTGACTGGCATAAGCCAATCCACAGTATGTCTTATAATAAATAATGTATCAAGACAATTGAGCAATTTATTACCAAGGTATATACATTTCCCAAGAAGTATGAATGTGGTAAAAAGAAAATTTGAAGAACTAGGAAGATCCAATATTCAGCATGGATTTAACAACATTATTGGCGCTATAGACTGCACACATATTAAAATAAATAGACCCAGAGGTATCTCCCATTCTGAAATATACCGAAACCGTAAAGGATATTTCTCTATTAATGTACAAGCTATTGTAGGCCCAAACATGGAAATTTTTGATATAGTAACCCGCTGGCCTGGCAGTTCACATGATAGCAGAATATTTAGAAACTCTCAAGCTTACGCTAGATTCTAAAGCGGGAATTTGCAAGGAGTTTTAGTAGGTGACAGTGGTTATCCCTCTCTTCCTTTCCTTTTAACACCTCTTATAACTCCAGTAACAAGAGCAGAAAACCAATACAATTATGTTCAAATAAGAACCCGTAATATAGTTGAGAGGTTTTTTTGGAGTATGGAAAAAGAAATTTCCATGCTTACAGTTGGGCCTACGTTCTAAGCTCACTAATACAAGCAACATAATTGTAGCTTGTGCAGTATTGTACAATATAGGTATTCAGAGTGGGGATGCTTATGACGATGGTGATAATGATCATATACCGGAAGTTCCAGAAAGACCAAACAATGAAATCCACTGCAGGTCTAGCGTATCGACAGTCTATAATAGCACAATTTAACTAAATAATTAAGAAATAAACTTTAGTAAAACAAAACTTATTTTATTCATTTATTGCTTTATTTTTTAAAATATTTTCTTTTTCTTTTATTTCTAAAATTTCTAACTCTAAAGCTCGTTTTTTTTCTAAAAATTCAGTTTCCTTTAAATATTTTTCTTCAGCCCGTCTGCTTTCATCCTCATGTCTCTTCTTATTATTTTCTAATTCTGGTAGTATCAGCTCCTGTTTCAGTTCATCAAAAGTTTTTTTCTGTTTTCCCTGCTTCGGCTTTGGGCTTTTTTTTGTACGTCATCTATGAATTCTATATCTATATTATTATTTTGCTCCATATCAGACATACGAGCTCTCTTTGGGAGCCACATTTGCTCGTCGTTGTCTAGTCCAAGGGTAGGTACTACCTGGAAATAGAAATACAATGTTATAAGTGAAATTACAAGGACATATGTCATCTTACTGATTAAATAAATACTATTCATTATTGGACTCTTAATAATATTTGAGTGGATAAATCATTTAAATTTAAAGTGCTAAAAACGGTAAGTAAAACCTATCATGACTTATTGAGTTAATTATTGGAAGTAAAGACTAGAAATGGGTTTGGGGCTGACTCAAACTTTAGAGATAGTCAGTTTGAATAGCCTATCATGTAGAGGATGTCATGATGGTCATGGTTGAATAGGGGCAAAAAGTTTTCATTACACACCTAGGGGGTCAAAATGGCCAAAAACAAAAAAATTACAAATTCTTATTTCTGCTATAACTCCGCCTACTTCGGAGGTTCTTACACAGTCTTTACTTGCCGCATCCTACTAGATTATTTAATAAAAAATACATATTTGATGTAACTATGGATTATTATATCCAATCCATCTGTTAATTTTATTATCAAACACTGGATAAAAACCATACAGTAGGTGTAGGCATGTGTGGCAGGTAGAAAAATAAATAGGTATATTGTTTTGAAAGTTAAAAGCGATTTAATATTCTTTAATTTATCTATAAAACTTAAATACCAGATTTTGTATATCTGTTAGTCATGGAATATCTTCAAAATGGCTGTACCAATTTCGGCCAGAGGACTTAGCAAGGAGAGATCTTGGTTACTTTAATTCAAGTTAAACAGGCTTTTTAATAAATTGACACTGACATCACAGGCAAAAGCTTGTCATATATATAGTATTTTTTAAATCTGTTGCCATTAATAACACATTTTTTGATGTTTAACTTACCGGTAGCAATTGTATCACTGTCAATTTCTATGTTGATGGATGGCAAAACATTTGGCATGACAGCTATTACTTGAGACTCCAAAGGTCCCATATCTGACAGAGATGGTCCTCCACCTGTCCTTTTCCTTTGGGCCTCCAGAGTCTTGGCATCCCTGGTCTTGGTTTTTAAATTTTGCCACATCTTTTTTAATTGTTTAGTATCAGCCTGAAAATTAATAGTAGATAAATATTAGAAATGGTGTCAAATGTCAATGTTTCACATGGCACAGCTTAGAGCTATTATAGGGGTAAGTATTTAAAGTAAGTATCTGTAGCAAGAATTTATAGTTCAACTTATTTGAGTGCCTCTGCATGTGCATATAGTATCAGTAAGGTACTTTAGCATAAACATGAAAATGACGCCAATTAATTCAAACGACTGGTATGAAGATATACTAAAAACATTTTAATGATTACACATATGAATTATTTAGTTAATTTTACTTACAATTTGTGTCACGTTCGAATTATTGAATTGAGAGGTAATTTCTTCCCAAGCTTCACTTTTCTTTCTAAGCGAAACGCCGTCTGTCCTTCGGTTTTCTATCACACCGATCTTGGCTTGAACTAATTGTATTAAAACTTGTTTTTCATATTCCGAGTAAGGCTTTTGTTTTTTTTTTTTGGTATTTTCCATTTTAGGGCTTCGGAGTCCGTAAGAGAATAGCCGTGGGTCAGTGGTATAGCAGGTACAAAATCCGTTGAACAGGTAGCCGTGGTCAGTCGTAAAAGAAGGTACAAAATCATTTAAGCAAGCCGCTCGAAACTAGGGAGATATCGTTAATTTTAAAGAAAGCTAACCAAAACAACAACTATGCGGAACGTAGAATACAGCACAGACCAAATTATGGTGTTTATTGTGTAGCCATGGACAATTCTAATTTTCCCTTTGAGTTATTTTTAAAATATATTTTTATCGAAGTAAAAAAGCACCCAACCTTCATCAACCCTCAACCAAAATCATTTTATTATGATAAAATATTGTCAATATTTTTTTTTCTATTTTTAAAGAAATTATAGCAGCATTATTGTTAAATTTTTAGTCTTACGATTTCCTTAATTGCATGAAGTTCTCTCTAAAGTGGCATCATTGCATTTGAGAAAATACGACAAAGTTAAAGAGTTTTCAGTTGCTCTGAGAGTGTAAAGTAATTTTGGACCATTACTTTTGTTAGGATAATATCTTGAGTTTTTCGTAAGTCGTCGATTTCGTTGACTTAGGCTTTGCTTAGCGCGCACTCAGCACGATTTAGAAGTTAGTTCTATAAATACCGACGTTGTCTTAGCTCGAAAGTAAAGTCTGAGCAAAGTCAGAGTACGGTCTATAGATCTTAGCACGAGACTTTGTTCAGCAAAGACTCAACTTCAGACACAAGTTTGTTCCGGTACTCGGCGACATTTTCCCGAGAAATATTGGCACGGCCGGTGTATAGAGCATCACCAGTGCTGTCATCCACATAGTAATGAATGTTACCGCTTCGCAACAATCATTTGTTTGCAGAAGAAACAGCGTTGGTTGGCAACACAAATGTACGTATGTTTTTAAACAAAAAATGGCAGATGCCCCATTTTCCTGATTGTGGACAAGTATGTAACTCAATTTGAAATTAATATTACATGTGATTTTTTCGTTACGACAGCAGAATTTACGAAGTAATCGCGTAACATCCATACATTAAGAAATACAGTCGAATTGTAACAACCTTTTTTAAAGTCAGGTAAAAACAATTTATTGTGTATTATATGACTTCAAGACACAGTACATTCATTCTGCGTAGATCGGACCAAAAGTGATACTTAAAAGGCTCCGGGTTAATTCTGATATCGAGACGTTAATCACCTCAATCCCCCGTGACTATGCGTGCTGAAAAACACCCGAAACGTCGGGAATTAAAAATAAGAACAATTAAACGCGATGAAATCCGTAAAAGTAGTTTTATTCAATGTGTAGTGTTCGCGTAAATTTAAGAAATCATGTAAACGTACGCCACTATGTGGGTAACCGCGGAATGGCGGTGGAAGATAATCAACTAACTTAAATTCCACTAAATTAAAGAGTGTGACAGAGGAAAACTGAACCAGGAGATGGGCAGCAGCATCCTCCCAATATCAGTTGAATAAAAATAAAAACTGCGGTTGCTAACCCGCTTGCCAAGCGTGGCAACTATTTCAAATATCTGTCTGTGTTCAGCAGTGGACTTATTTATAGGCTGTAGTGGTTGAAATTCAAAGGAGAATGGGATTTTTGGGCCTGAAGTTAACTAATTGGTTTATACTTTAAAAAATTAGCCATATTTTTCTTAAGTAAAATACAAAAAAGTATCTCTTTTTACAATCTAGATTTGGAAAAAACAATAAAATAAGCAATAAGTTAGAAACTCGATTGTAGTGTATTATTTGTGGCAAGAAATCGATTACCATAAAAAATACACTAGTGAAATTATCGTTTCAGAACGTTATCTTCCAATAGAGAATTTTTCATTTTGAGACTTGACAGTTCAAACTTCAAACTATTTACTTAAAAGAAAAAGACATATTTTTGATTCGATTTGAAACGAGTGCAATATAATAAATTTTTGATTAAATTGAGCATTTTAATATCGATTTTCGATTATTTTCCTCTGTGTGATAAAAAAAAATTGCATACATATCTACAAAATAATAATAAAAATACAAAATATAAAAAATTCTAACAATTAACAGTTAAAACAACAATTCAAGTAATCGATCTCAGATCGATATCCCTGATATTCACTTCACTTAGTTGTTGTTGCTTTAATTTTTGTTAATCGTTTCACCATTTCGTTTCTTTATTAACCACAGCTTTTTTTGGTGATACTGATTCTGCTTTTATATCTTTAAGTAATTATATTGGAAAATAACCTGTTACAGTGTACGTAATAGATAATCACACTTTTACTTATTCTACAATAACTCAGTTTCTAGATTGACAAATCTTGCCAGATTTTCAGGTATGAATTGTTTATATACAAGCTTTCAGCAATGGTACTTTCATCTTGTTAACACTTGGGCCCAAGAATGTATGGAGATGTCTCCTTCTCCTTTACTTTTATTTGTGAATACAGGTAATGAGACAGGATAGATCTTTAAAAATTAAACTTAATATATTCGCTGCATTTAACCCTTAGATATATAAATATTATACAAATAAATCATGTGCAATGCATTCATCACTATCATCATTACGGGTCTTTACAAATCCACTGCTGAACATAAGCCTCCCCTAAGGAATGCCACAAAGCACGGTCCTGAGCCACATGCATCTATCAACTTCTTGCATGTTTTACCAGTTAACTACTCTATCTAGTGGGGGGACGCCCTACACTTCGCCAGCCGGTATGAGGCTGCCACTTGAGAACTTTTCTTCCCAATTGGTTGTCGGTTCTTCGAGCTATGTGGTTGGCTCATTACTATTTCAGCTTACTAATTCGTTGGGCTATGTCGGTTACTCTGGTTCTAATACGGATATCCTCATTTTTAAGTCTATCACGTAGATTGCTACATTAATACTATTAAATAATTTCTTTATATAATTTTACGTGGTAGAGCCGTGCTGTGGAGCTATATTATAGTTGTAGCACGAATGGGTCGGCTCGACCGGGAAGGACCATGCTCTCACAGAATACCAACGTAAATTAATAATAGGACTGATGTAGATTTCTATGGGCTTGCCATCGGGTGGACTTTGTTTGTTTATCGTCCTTATTCTATAAAAAAATATTTGAATTGTACAACTGTAATTTGTAGGCGCACGCTCGCGCGCGGTTCGTGCTGATGCGGCTGCTGGAGCTGGAGGGCGACGGGCTGCTGGTCGTCAGCGAGCCGCACCCTGCGCACGACCTGCTGCTCACGCTCGACCGACACCGCTTAGCCACCGACGGCAAACGGATTATAGGTAAACATTTCCTAAGGAATTCTTACGAGTTTTTTGGCTGTAGTCATTTACTGTTCGTTAAAGGCTGCAGGTGCGAGTGCACAGCAAACTGATATTTGATACTTACAATGTAAATATTGTCCTCCAGACCGAATTTCGGTCTGGACTAGCCACCTGCGCAAGCCAAGATACAATGGCCGAGCTTATGTGCAAGAACAGATGAATAATCCACTCCTCTCATATTCCGATGGGACGGTAATTTTATACAAATCAAAGATCAGACGCAGAGCCAACTGCTTTACATGCTTTCTGAGGCACGGGGGTGAAACACTGTTAATATCCTGATTCCAGGCTGCTACTGAGAATTTCTAGACAGAATAACTCAATAATTGATTTTAATAGCTTGACCCATAATCTGCAGCCGAATTTGCGACCACTAAACTAACGAAGCAGTGAAATATAATCTTTAATTATAGTGTAAGAAAGGTCAATTCATTTTCTAATTTCTACCTCACTACTTGTTACTGAAGAATGAAGTACCCTTACTATTATGTATTCTGTGATTGAATTGACAAACCTACTTACACACAGATGCAAACACAGGTGCACTCTACTCTGCGTTGTCATCTCTGAAAACTAACACAGTCTGTACTGGCGTTCTATAGCCTTCAGCCAGGAACACAGCTGTGCAAGCACTTCTTATTTGGCACATACTCAGATGATACCAAGTATTGACGTATGAGTCTCATGGCAGTCTATTCTTCATTTTGGGCACCTTCACCGCCACGTCTGGAATGATCTTGAATATATTTGGAAATCATGGAGCGGATTAGACCCAGCAAATGGAGTTCATTATGTGTTTTTATTTGTTATTAAATAAGAAAAGTATTTTAGATGCATAATAACAATCTTATCTTTTTGTAAAAGGTTTGTTTTGTTTCCAGGCGAGTTTCTCGTGAAGCTACAGACATTGAAGGCGACCGGTGACTCGTCAGCGGCAGAACAGTTATTTGACCGCTACAGCCGCCTGGACGAGCCCTGGTCGCGCTGGAGGGACATCGTCATGCTTCACAAGCAGCCAAGAAACATATTCGTCCAACCCAATACTTCGCTAAAAGGTGTGTCTGTTGAAAAATCAACCTTACTTTAAAGGATATACGGGGGTGGTAATTAATCAACTGCCATGTGTTATATATTTTACGATATAAAACATGGCAGTGGTGCATACAAATTGTATTACAGTCTGAAATTCGTATCTGTCACAGCTATGTTTTGCTTTTTTCCATAAATTATTTTAAAAACTAGGTACCTTCTAAAATTTCTAATACTACCCAGTTATTACCAAAGCTTAGTTTACGCTCATCAAAACCAACATCACTTCAGAGTAGAGCTTCTTCTACCGCTAAACATCCCCGACACTGGGATGCACTGCAGTTTACGTTTGATGGATGAATCCCGGATTCTTTTGTTTTTCTTCTCTTAAAAAAATTTAACCACCACATCAAGATTTTCACCTGTATCGTTTATAGTTTACATACATTAATTTCACACGGACAAACATTCAAACCCGGAACAATTATCACACAAATACTTGTTCCGTGCGGGATTCGAACCCGCGGCTCTTAGCTCTGCAACTTATTGCTAAGCTATTGCGCCATGGAGACCGAAATCAGTTACTCGGTTTTTCTGCCCCGAAATTCTCAGTGGCAGCCCGGAGTCAGGAAGTTGGCAGTGTTTCACCCTCATGCCTCGGAAAGCACGTAAAGCCGTTGGTCCTGCACCTGATCTCTCTTCGCTCGTATCAAATTTCCATCCTATTGGACTATGAGAGTGAGGGAATAAAGAGTGCGCCTGTGCTTGCGCTCAAACTCGTGTACTATAATCCTCCCCTACGCTAATGGCTATTCTCCAGTGTGACGAGTGGTCTGAAGGACATTATTATTTATAAGCACTCTGGTCCTCAAGTCCGAGCATCGGATGGTTTGCAAGTTTGATTGTTACTCTACTATTATAAAAATACCTAATATATATATATATATATATATATATATATATATATATATATATATATATATATATATATATGATATCTTTATATATAAAAATTACGTGTTACATTGTTTGTTCGCGATGAACTCCTAAACTACTGAACTGATTTCAATGAAATTTGCACACTGTGTGCAGTTTGGTACTACTTGAGACATAGGATAGTTTTTATCCCGATGAGTGACTTCAATATTTTTTCATCAATAATAACCGTCTGAATGGGCAGAACAACGTCTGCCTGGCCAGATAGTATAATGTAATATATTAATTTATATAGCTTATTGTATAAACGCATACAGTGCACTTTAAATCTTGTACTTAAAAGATTGGATTTTCGATAACAGTATTATAAGACTCGCACATTAAATGCTGTTTCGTGCATTCTGGGTTTTTTCTATTAACCTAGAATGACAATGGGCAACGAACGTTATGCTGCTCAAAGGACTTACTCGTTTTCTACTTCTACCCTCACTTTAATTTTCTACACACTACTATTTACCAGATACAGATATCATATTACCTGAAGATTGCCTCGTTATTAGTAGAATGGGACTTTCGACGCGACACAACATCGCTATGCTTCTCTTTTACGCTGGTATGCTGTAACAACCTAGTTCTTCCCAGAACGAGCCTACCCGACCCATTCCTGCAGCAATCGTTACATAGCTTAACACCATGGATATTCTACGTTTTACGTCTGTTATAAACCGCATACTATGCGAGATCATGATATTTTCCTAACATAGTAGATTCTTAAGACAACCACGGAACAAGATAAGCTGATAGATCTTTTACGCAACTACACGGCGCATTTAAAATCACCATAATTGCAGCTCGTCACAAGACAATTGCTGAATATTGGCATCCTTCTCAGACTGCCGCAATCCTGATCCACCTGTATCCATCCACTTCCGCATATCTCATCAGGTTTAAATAATATTAATTCATACTTTCATTGTTTGTGCTCCAGGCGAGGAAGTGGAATTAAAACGTTACCCGGCGAGTGCAGAGGGTATGGTGGCATCGTGGGTCGAGCGCTTCCCAAGTTCCACTATTGACGATGTCCTCGAACAACTCGCCGACACAGATAGCAAGTACTTCGCAGAGCTGGAATCTCTCGCTGCCGCTTGATTTTATGGTAAAGTGGGCTATGCGGGCGTTTTTCGCTCTTGAATTTATTATTTAGTAAAAATATAAAATAAATTATAATTTTATGTATACTTATTGTTTTATTGCAGTTATTCCCATAATTTATTACCTAAACATATTTTCGTCTATTTTGTTACAATAATTGAAGTAAATGGGAAGATAAAAACCATACGGTATCGTGATATACTGCCCGCGAAGCTAGAGGTTATTTTAAAGAAGAGAGGGTTGATGTAGTCATGCCTGGTAGTAACTTTATTTAATTACTTTTTTTGAAGTGAAAACTTCTTTAGAATCGCAACGATTTTTAGAATCGTTGTGATTTGAAACTCGAAATACTAAAACGAGACAAACATATATACATTGAAAAGATTTAGTCTGCTAAAGAATGAGATAGAATACAGTATAGTAAGCGACCGTAGCCTAATAGCAAAGTGCGGACCGCGAATTCAAAAGGTAGGTTTGAATCCACCATTCGTCTATTGTCGTGAACCACTCATAACACAAGCATTTTCTGCTGGTTAAAGTGTTTATTGAGAATATTTGTAACGTTAATAGCGTTACTTGTATTTTTTTTATAAAACTACAACAAAATAAAATACTTTGGTCCTGTTATCTCTGTTTCCTCTTTGTGCGGTGCTTTAAAGATGATAATATAAATTTTAACTTAAAATAAACAGTATAAAGATTTACAAATAAAATAAATAAAATAATCCATTATAACAATCCATGATTTCATAAGTGCAGGCTATCTAGCGTCTATTTTACATACCATCTTGAGAGTTAATCAATTTTGGTCAATATAGTCGCATTGACTAAAATTTACACTATGACTACCTATAGAATTAAGTAGATGGCGCGATTGCAAAGCAATTATACTCGATAGTAAATATTGTTTAGATTTATTACACTAAAAATAAGGATTGTAACATTTATTTGCTATAAAATAAAATAAAACTTTTATCTTATAATTTACGCCGCACTTCTGGTTGAAAATGATCTTCTATACATATCTACACATATAATAAATCTGTAGAAAAGTCGTGTCTGTAATTCTAATATATTCTTGAAAAAATAAGTTCAGGGGACTAAATAATGGGTTCTGAAGCCAAATTAGTGGTTTTTAGAATTTTTGTCTGTCTGTCTTTCTGTCTGTCTGTCTGTCTGTCTGTGTATTCCGGATTCACGTAAAAACTACTGAACCGATTTACATGAAATTTTGCATATAGGTAGTGAGTAACCCGGAGCAACTTATAGGCCACTTTTTATCCGATTACGGAACTTCAAAAAAGGTAGGTTATGTATTCTATTTCCTTTAGATGTTAATTTTCTATTATATCTTAGTTATAGGCGAGATGACGGGTGTTTTTCAAATAAAAACCATATTTGTAAATAAAGTTTAAAATATAGTAATAATCTTGGTAAAATAATTTGAAACTACACCGATTTGGTATTCAAAACAGCGCCATCTATCATCAAATGGTAGAAGTAATATATTTTGGCCTTCAATTACTAATAAATGAAAAATAATATAAATAACTTACATTTATATGATTAAATGATTTGATTTTAAAAATTATTAAAAAATTCTAACGTTTAGTTTTTTAGTATTTTTGTTATTTTATTTTAAAAGTGTAATAATTTCATTAGATAATAGTGACGTCTATCAAAAATATGAAAATTGTTAAGGTATTTATTTCAATTACTAATATATATATATATATATATATATATATATATATATATATATATATATATATATATATATATATATATATATATATATAAAGCAATTAAAACTGGTCTGTCTGCAATTGTTGCTATAGTTTTATTAAAGAAATTTTTATGTATGTCGTGGCCAGATCGGAGAATTGATAATACCTATATCATAAAGTAGTAAATGGTGTGGTCATTTCATGATATTTAACACTATTTGTTGACCATGTCATGATATGTCTTGACATATGATAGAATGAATAGAAATCGTTTGAAGATATTAATAACTAAACACAACGTTGCTATTTCATAATATGGTTATATGACAATATCATTAAATCATTTTTCACCGCTAAGGGCGCTGATAACGTATTTTTTAACAAAAACAGAACTTTTAAGAGAATTGACATCACTTTATTCCTTATTGATATAATAAATAAATGTTAGCTTCTGTTGCTGATATTACTAGATGGTATAGTTTTGGCTTTCATTATTTCATCTAATATTAGCGCCACCTAAGTAGGTGGCGCTAATATTAGACTTCTAAACAAACTAAAATGGCAAGTCATCGATAAAATGAAATAATACAATACTACTGAACATACAATGTAAATAATTGGATCATTTACATTACATTCATCCAGCGTTGGAATCACCGCAGCGAAGACTTCTTTGGTCAAAAACTCTGCGGTCTGTGCCCAGTAGTAACATGTATGTAAGCTTCTACTTTTTTTAAACTTTTTTATATTATGCTGTTTTTATTTCATTCGTGTTTTCGGCTATGTTACTTTTTGTATTCACTCTGCCGTAAATATTAAAGGTTGCAAAATGAGTAGAACTCATTATCGTCAGCCTATCAAAATTCCACTAAGATGAACATAGGCCTCCCCCATAAATTGTCAAGTAGCTGGATATTTGCTATAGTTGCCACACTTGGTAAGCGGGTTGGCAACCGCAGCTATTATTATTTTGATCTGTTGTCAAGAAGATGATGCAGTCCATCCCATCTCCAGTTTGTTTGTTTTTTTTTCTAGAATAGGGGGCAAACGAGCATGCGGCTCACCTGATGGTAAGTGACTACCGCCGCCCATGAACAACCGCAACACCAGGGGAATTGCAGATGCGTTGCCGGCCTTTTAGAAAGGTGTAAGCTCTTTTCTTGAAGGTTCCTAAGTCGTATCGGTTCGGAAAATATGCTGGTGGTAATTGATTCCACAAAGAAGTTGTGCGAGGGAGAAAACTTCTTCTAAATCGCACAGTGGTGGACCGCCAATCATCCAGATGGTATGGATGGTAACGCGAGTTTTATCGCGATGTGCGATGGTGAAATTGAGCGGCTGGAATTAGTCCGAACAATTCCTCAGAGCACTCCCCGTGTTAGATGCGATAAAATACGCAAAGAGATGCAACATCTCTACGCAGTGCAGTGTATCGAGCCGACCGGAAAGAACTCGGTCGTCGACGATTCGAATCGCTCTGTGCTGGATGCGGTCAAGTGGAAGGAGCTGGCACTGGGGTGCCCCGGCCCAGAGATTTTCCTATGTCGCCTCTTACGACAGGACGATATGAGGTGGCAGATTCTCTTTCACCGCCACAACAAGGCGAATATTTTTCTAACCCATGGGTGTAGTGATCCTCACGTTCACTGTGAATAAAATTTATAAGGAATAAAACTAATTTGAAGGATTTTATCGCGTTTAATTTTAAACTTTTCAAATTATATCATCATCATCATTACAGCCCTTCACAAGTCCACTGCTGAACATAGGCCTCCCCCAAAGAATGCCACAAAGCACGGTCCTGAGCCACCTGCATCCATCGACTTCCTGCATATCTTACCAGGTCGTGACTCCATCTAGTGGGGGGACGCCCTACACTTCGCCTGCCGGTACGAGGCTGCCACTCGAGAACCTTTCTTCCCCATCGGTTGTCGGTTCTTCGAGCTATATGGCCGGCCCATTGCTACTTCAGCTTACTAATCCGTTGGGCTATGTCGGTCACTCTAGTTCTACTGCGGATATCCTCATTTCTGAGTTTATCACGCAGAGAAACTCCGAGCATAGCCCTCTCCATAGCTCGCTGAACGACCTTGAGCTTCCTCATCCGGCCAGCAGTGAAGGACCACGTCTCAGTTCCGTATGTCATCACTGGCAACACGCACTGGGTGTACAGTCTCGTTTTCAAGTTTTGAGGTATACCTGACGAGAAGATGTGCCGTAATTTGCCGAACGCTGCCCAACCGAGTTGAATCCGTCGATTGACCTCTCGGTCGAAGTTGGACTTACCTAGTCGGACTATTTGTCCCAGGTAAACATACTCGTCAACAACTTCGAGCTTAGTGTTCCCAACAACTACCGGCATAGGTGTGACATGGACATTAAACATGATCTTTGTTTTGTCCATGTTCATCTTAAGACCTATCCGTTGGGAAACACTATTGAGGTCATTGAGCATAGTGTTTAGGTCCTCCAGCGATTCTGCCATAAGGACTATATCGTCGGCAAATCGAAGGTGAGTGATGTACTCGCCATTGATGTTGATACCGTATCCTTTCCAGTCCAGAAGCTTGAAAACATCTTCCAATGCAGCAGTAAAGAGTTTCGGGGATATGACGTCACCCTGTCTTACACCTCTCTGCAATTGGATAGGTTTCGTACTCTGGTTCTGTACTCGGATAGCCATCGTAGCCCTACTGTACAAGCACTTCAACACTTCGATATACCGACAGTCAACTTGGCATCGCTGAAGGGACTGCAGCACCGCCCAAATTTCGACGGAATCAAAGGCTTTCTCATAGTCCACATACGCCAGACATAGTGGCAAATTGTACTCCTCGGACTTCTGTACAATTTGCCGAAGGGTATGTATGTGGTCTATGGTGCTAAAGCCTTTTCGGAAACCGGCTTGTTCGGGAGGCTGGAAGTCGTCAAGTCTGCGCGCGAGACGATTCGTAATGACTCTCGAAAACAGCACGTAGACGCGGCTCAGAAGGGAAATCGGTCTGTAGTTCTTCAAGAGAGCGTTGTCGCCTTTCTTGAAGAACAAGACCACCGCACTTCTGCTCCACGCCTCCGGTGTAATGCCAGCATGGAGGACGGAATTAAAGAGCTTCTGAAGGACTTCAAGTACCGGTTTTCCACCCGCTTTCAGAAGCTCCGCTGTAATTTCATCCTCGCCTGGTGCCTTGCCGTTTTTAAGGTGCTGGAGAGCCATTCTAATCTCGCTCAGACTGACGTCCGGGATATCATCGGAATAATGTCGGATAAGAC